AGCCCGGCAGCGAGAAGACCATCTAGTCGCTACACGAAGAGGACGGGCGGATGTGCGATTCACGGACACGCGACGCACGGGACCGAACCAGGCAACGACCAGCGCACGGCCAAACGTCAGCAATCGGCCGGCGGGGTCAATAGTAAGGCGGCTTTCTCCCGAGGAAGTTAAACGTCGGCGCGAGAAAGGCCTATATTTTAAGTGTGAGGAGAAATTTACACCAGGTCATCAGTGCAAGCAAGCTTTTGTGATCGAAGTTTCTAACCCTGATGAGGAAGGATCTGAGGTCGAGGAGGAACCACATCAGGACAATGAGGTTGAGGGGCCCGACGAAGAAGCTGAAATCTCGATGCACGCAATGGCCGAGATTAGAGGGCCCCGAACGATGCGATTGCCGGCCTGGGTTAAGGATCGGAAGGTGATGGTGCTCGTGGACAACGGGTCATCACACAACTTCATCAATGCCGACTTGTCCCAGAAGCTGAACTTACCAACCACGAAGATTGAGCCTTTTGAGGTACGAGTAGCCAATGGTGAGAGGCTGCAATGCACTAAATCTTTCCGAAAGGTGCCAATCAGGTTCAGCGGAGTTACGGTGAAGGCTGATCGCTATGCCTTACCTTTGGTTGGGCCGGATGTCGTTCTAGGAGTACAGTGGCTCGAAGGGTTAGGCAAGGTGACCACCGACTATCGAACAGGAATTATGGAGTTCAACTCCGAAGGTCAGCAAGTCACTCTGAGTAGTGGCAATGAAAAAGGTACCAAGGAAGTAGGACTTAATAGCATTGAAAAAGTTTGGCGGGGTGGAGGCCAAATATTTGCAGTAGTAGTAGAGAAAACAGAGGCGCACATAGACCGAGAGGAACCACAGCAGGGAGATGTGTGCGAGCTTCTCAAGGGATTTGAGGGAGTACTGGGCGAGCCTAAAGGACCACCCCTACACCGGGAGTTCGATCATCGCATACCACTGATCAATGAGCAGCACGCCATACACGTTCACCCTTATAGGTATGCTCACTTTCAGAAAACAGAGATCGAACGGCAAGTGGCCGAGATGCTTGAGTCAGGACTAATCCAGCATAGCAAGAGTCCGTTTTCTTCTCCAGCCCTGTTAGCTAAAAAGAAAGACGACACATGGAGGTTCTGTACTGACTACCGAGCTCTGAACGCCGCAACTATCAAGGACCGATTTCCTATCCCTAGTGTCGACGACATGCTCAATGAGTTAGCTGGGTCACGCTATTTCTCAACACTTGACCTGAGAGCTGGTTACCATCAGATTCGACTCCACAAGGCCGACATTCCAAAGACAGCATTTCGTACGTACCAGGGGCACTATGAGTATTTGGTTATGCCATTCGGATTGTGCAACGCCCCTTCCACTTTCCAGTTCCCTATGAATTCCATCTTCAAGGAGTATCTACGTAAGTTCGTTCTCGTATTCTTTGATGATATCCTGATCTATTCGAAGTCGTGGGGCGAACATCTTGGGCATTTGAGAGTAGTGCTCGAAATTTTGGAGGCCAACTCATTTCACATCAAGCCATCAAAATGTTCATTCGGGCAGAAGATGGTTGAGTATCTGGGGCACTTCATATCCCACGAGGGCGTGAAGGTTGACCCACGAAAGATTGAGGCTATGATCGATTGGCCAAAACCGACAAGTCTCACACAGCTGAGGGGATTTCTAGGACTCACGGGCTACTACAGAAAGTTCGTGAAGGATTATGGAACCATCGCCAAACCACTGACAGAGATGACTAAGAAAGGCGGGTTCACATGGACCGAAGCTAGCGAGGAGGCATTTGGGAAACTGAAGGAGGCCATGACTACAACGCCAGTGCTCGCCATGCCAAGGTTCGATGTCTTGTTCGAGGTACACACCGATGCGAGTGACATTGGAATTGGAGCTCTGTTAGTGCAACAGGGACGAACCTTAGCTTATCTCAGCAAGGCACTAGGCACTACACGATTGGGTCTATCGGTGTACGTGAAGGAGATGCTAGCAGTTGTCGAGGCTGTAAGTTGCTGGAGGCCTTATCTGTTGGGCCGATGTTTTCAGATTGTGACCGACCAGCAACCGCTTAAGCATCTACTGGAGCAAAGGATTGTTAACCCCGAGTAGCAGAAGTTCGTATCTAAACTTATGGGGTTTGACTTCGAGATAATCTATCGACCGGGTCCACAGAATGCAGTGGCTGACGCATTATCTCGACGAACAGATGTAGCCGAGCTGAATGCTATCACTGGTC